TATTACCTCTATAAAAAAGTTTCGACCAAAAACAATTTTTCAACTTTTTCGGGTTGTGGGCGGACCTTTGGTCGACTATGATTATGATTATGATTATATCGGTTAGTAAAACTAACAGAACAACACTGATTATATAGCTTGGTGACCCGATAAAACATGGAAATGGAACAAAAATGGAGCGCTATAACTGGGGGGGGGGGAGGTACGGTGGAAGCCTTGGCGTGAAGAGCAGTGGCCCGCCAACACTGCAAGTCGCGAGAGTTTGGAAACGGCTCCGTATACCAGCTTAGTAGTCCGTCAACCCACCAAGGTCCACCTCTTGGGACGGGAGCAGGCAAGAATTTTGCAAAGAAATGTATAGTAAGACATATATAGTAAGCCATAAAGCAACCCGCTCAGGAAACAGCTAAATACCAATGAGCTAAGGATAGTAATTTATAGTATTAGGAACACATTGTCAGGCAAGAACTGAATATAACTAAGGTTAGAAAATGGAGCAGAAACATACAGTATACGTGGAAGAATAGCAAAGAGAAAAGGAAGCCCAAGGACAGCTTACAAAGCAAAGGCAAGCCAGCATATAGCCGGCAACAACACAGAACATGCAACGAACTTAGAAGACGAGAGAAAAAAAACTAGCAACTGTCCTTGAGCTTCAGCATTTCAATAGACCATAACTCACTGCCAGCCCTACTTTTTGAGTAGCCTACTAGTCGTTTGATTTCATGATGATGACCGGAGTCTCACACCTTCGTAGCGGCGACGACATAACGATGACGTAGCGCGCCGCCGGGCAGCCGTATTGCGAATTTGCTGCACCGAAGATCCTTCCATACCGCTATAAGTTCGGATGCCTGTGGAATACGTGAACAACCATCGTGGACCTTTGTCGACCCCTAGCGGCTACTCGCTCGACAAAGGCTTTATTCCCCCCTACCGACAGAACAGATTCACTCAACGTTCTCCACTTTCAAATGCACCTGTAGGGATTGATAAATTTCTCTTTTTTTCCACAGTGTTATTCTTGTTGTTGGAGGAGCACCCGGCGGCAGTCGGATCACCCGGCTGCCGCCGGGTACTCCTCCTTCTTTGTAACGGCCCGGCTTCGCCGGGCCGGCCTGGCTTCGCCAGCACTCTTTCCTTAGGCGAAGTAGAGTGTGCGACATACGGCTAAGCGTCACAGTGCATTTTCCAGCAAAATGCATCCTTTCCTAAGCCCTAGCCCTACATCGTATCTTGGAACCAACCTCCTACTGTTGCTGTGACTGGCGTGATTGACTCAGTGACCATACCCTTCTAACATCTCGAATCTTATCAGCAGCTGACGGTTCTTGTCATCCACCAATAATGTTCCTGTCCCTTACCCTAAATCATATGTTGGAATCAACACCTGGCCCATGCTGTGACCCGCATTACGAATATGGTGGGTGTTCCATTCTGAGCCCTCTTATCAAATATTATCAACTGATATCAACTTCACTTCCTACCACCCACCAATAGTGTTCCCGTCACACCGTCTACGTCACTTCTTGGAACCATTATCTCGCTGCTACTGGAACCGGCGCTATGAATTTCGTGTCAAAGAGACAGACGCACACGCACGGGCATAGTCGATTACATATGGTAGAGTTGTAACCATTGTCCCAATGTAACGCTGAAATCTATCCTTTTGTCCATTCTTTTCTCGGGGTTAGTATCACAACTCCATAACCCTCACACGAAAATTCAGTAACCTGTAAGAGCAGCCTTCGAAGCATCCTACCATTCAATGCGTTCTCCACCACTGGAGGGTTTTTTTCTGGAATGCACTCCCGCATTCGGCAGTCTTGCGCTTCGAATGGTCCACTCTCGGGCTGCTGATGGAATATAATCATGGTCATAGTGATGAAGTTAGTTGCTGCACTTCATGGCAACTGAGTAAACAACCGTCATGCATCTGAACTCCAGTTGCTTTGGCTGCCGTACATGATGTCGATAGCGGTAAGAGCATAGGACTGAGCTGTGTATGAACTACTGAGAGCCTGGTACCTGTCATATCAATCGCACTGTGGCAGTGAGCGGTGTTGCGGATTCCCGCATGATGACGCTTTCAACCCTTATCAGTAGCTGTCACTCGGTGTCACCCGTCAGGGGTTCCCGACCTCTTCCCCCTATACCACTTCTTTGAACCAAGGTCCCACAGACGCTGCAACCTGCCCTACAAAGTTGGTGACCCTCCACATCTAAGGCCCCTTATCGAATCTTATCAGATGTTATCAGCTTCTCTCACACACCTCATGTCCACTTCCCTTACCCTATACCACATCTTGAAATCAAGGTCCCACGGTCGCTGCAACTCGCGCTACGATTTCGGTCACCCTTCCCTTCTAAGGCCCCTTATCGAGTTTTACCAGGTGTTATCACTTCCTGTCACCCACCAAAAGTGTTCCCGTCCTGCCTTGTATATCACTTCTTGAAATCAAGGTCCCGCAGCTGCTGCAACTCGCGCTACGATTTCGCTTACCCTGTTCTTCTAAGGCCCCTTATCGAATCTTATCAGGTGTTATCACTTCCTGTCACACACCAGTGTTCCGGTCCTGCCTTGTATATCAATCACTTCTTGGAACTGTCATCCTATCTGCTCCCTCGACGCTCGCTATGAATTTCCGGTCAAACACACATACAGACAGACACACAAACATTCACACACACACACCAACAGACAAACTTGGCGGATTATATATAGTAGGATTTATCAGTAAATAAGAAGTTTCTGATAACAGGCGAAGTACGACTTGAATAAAAAGGCTCCTGTGCACAACCCAATACACAAACCCAAGAAGGTCGAAAAATTTTTTTAGCGAAACTATCTCTATAAAACTAATCGATGGTCCTGATCACGATTCTGACACTTATTTCTGACGCTAACGCAATTTGACTGCAGAGTAGCGCTGAGCGTCCCTTATATGGGTGTACATAATAAATTCAGCGGGAGAATGATGTGGATCCAAATCGGAGAAAAATGGCACCACAGCTAAAGTTAAGTATAATATTAATAATCATATCACTTACTTACACATAATAATGTTTTCAGTAGCAGCCCGGTTTAATGGTCTGAGAAAATTGTAGTAGAGTAGAATAACACCGACCGGGGTACTACCGTTGAGTTTGCCCATAAATGGCAAATATCATGTTATACTCATGTACAGACATTTATGGAAGCGAGAATAGCGAAACTAAAAAAAATGCAAAAGTTGCACTCCTAGGGGAGTCGAACCATCAACACCCACCCTCAGTTCCCGGTTGCGGTCTCATCGTTAAAGAAAACATTCTACAGAGCCGTCCACTCCTGATCACGTGCCACATATAAGATCCCATTTGCGACTGTTTTTCTCCTCGATTCCCATAAAACCTTTATAAGGACCCGCCACTCAGCAACTGGTCAAAGTTGCAAGTGATGTGGAGCACGTCGAGGCTCAAAACCATCGGTTTCCATACATTCTTTTTCACTCCTTTTTTGGTATTCAGAGACCCATTCAGGGAAAATGAACGTAAGTTTGGTAGTCCATGAACGTTGCCCTACATTATGCAAAAAACCGTTTTCAAAAAGCGCGCCACGTCCTGAACCACCTCCCTGGTTAGTAAGGTACTGTTCATCTCTTAACCTCAGAATTCATTTAGGCCTTGAAGAAGACGAAACGTTAGGACGTTGAATGAAGTTTACCACTAAAACCTCGAGAGGTACAGCAGTATTCCCTATACGGATTATGTCCCACCTACTGCCAAATTCTGCGGAACCTCTCTTAGCAGAGAAAGCATAGGAATGGAACAAAGACAGAGTGGTCCATGTCTGTAAAAATAGTGGATGATCCCACAGTCTAGCTCCTCGATTTTTAGAGTCTCTTAAAGACACATGGTACGCTCAAACACATTAAGAATGTATGAGACTATGAGCCCCCCCCCCAGCTGTCGATGTGTCGTGGTCCCCCCGCCCAAAAATGCACGGGGTCAGAGTACCGGACCGCGGGAAAGTCGTAATTCCTTGCTACGCCGCCCGTTTTTGCAAACTCACGTTTTTACTATCACCTTCCGCGCGGCGCGGTCGCGTGCAGCTCTCTTGGCTTTTTGCCAAGTTCTGTAATTGCACTTTGGAATAGAAGTACAACGCATTTTCTTTATGCGGATAACATTTTAGGTTCTTCAAAAATAAGAACTGAAGATGATGACGAGGGCTAGAACTCTAAGAGCAACTGTGGTGCTTCTGCAACAGCCCTCGCAGGCCGCGCATTCCCAACAAAGCATCAAAATAAAAAAGGCCTAAGCGTCCCACTCGTTAGTTTGAAGTATTTCTATAGAATTAGAGCCGGACTCGAGGGGAGTCGCAGAAATGCACATGCGATTTTAATTTATTGCGTTTCTTAGTTTTTTTCAATTTTGTTTTATTTACATCTGCATTCGTTGTTCTTCATTTCTAGCCTTTGTCATCTCATCACCTTCTAACCGACTTTGAAGCTGAGCAAATACCTCAAATGTTAGGAAATGCGTTTTGCTTGTATTGTCATGTTTTCTTGTCATGTGCCCGTTTTTATTGTCATGTTCTATGGAATGGCGCGGCCTCTGAGGGATATTGCAGAAGCAACGCACAGTTGCTCTTGAGTTCTAAGCCCTTGTCATCCAATTTTGCGGTTCTTATTTTGCAGCACCTAAAATGTTATCCGCTAAAAAAAATTGCGTTGTACTAGTATTCCAAAGCGCAATTACTGGAGTTGCAAAAAGCCAAGAGAGCTGCAGCGACCGCGCCGCGCGGATGGTGTTAGCATAAACGTGAGGGCGGCGTAGCAAGGAATTACGACTTTCCCACGGCCCCGTACTCTGACCCCGTGCAGTTTGGGCGGCGGGACCACGACACATCGACAGCTGGGGGGGGGGGGTTGATAGTCTCATACACCCTGTGTTTGAGCGTACCATGTGTCTTTGAGCTTTATTGCGTAATCACGAACGACAGGCTGAAGTCGTTGCCGCTATTCCCGAGTAGCTTTTGCGAGTTTCTGAAGCTGAATGGCGTAAGGGACTGCAGTAAGTATGTGCTCCTGCAGGAGCAGCTCGCGTAGTCCCGCTGTCACATAATATTTTCTGTCTCTGGCTCTGTTGGTAGCTCACCTCATCCGTTTTCAAGCCTCGCCATGTCATCAAACCCATCATTTCCAACATGATGTAGAACAATGCCTCGGCACAATCCGTCACACGGACAACACTATCTGAATAATCAACTACATCATCCAAGCCTAGCCAGACAGATAGGAAATGCCAGTTTCTTTTGGCTAGTTGAGTGCGTGACTCCTCCCAGAAGGAGACCTATCCCGCCAGACGTTTTTTTATTTCTCTTACGGTTTTCCATTCTAATGAATCACAATAACGATCGTTACTCACGCTTGCCCTTTTCGTGCCAGCTAAGAGGAGCGAACTCCGGGCAACCGCGCCAGTAGTTATGTAGAAGAATCTCTCCATTCTTCAACTTCAAGTCCATTAGTTCTGTACTTTTTACAACCTAAGAAGAAAACTTTACAAGGAACTTTCCTTCGAGAAAACGTAGCAAATCTATTTCCATGTTCTTTTTTCCATTGTTTTCTTTCTTGTCTTTTTAAAAGCTACCAGAGAAACCATAAAAAGGCTTGCCTCTCACCTGATCTCTAGGATGCCTTGCAAAGAAAACCTACCTCTGAGGCATTATGCAGGTACAGGCGACGACTTCGAACATCCAAATGGAAGTGAGACATTTCGACACTCCGAAAAGTGTAGCCGGTTTCATAAACCAACTCTATTATCTGAAATGACCTAGTACGATTTCTTGAAAGTGCATGGGACAGGTGTACAGAGCACACATCACCTAAGCGTCGTTCACAGTGAGTGAGACACGCGCCTTAAGTGAGTGATTTCGCAAGAAAAAAGTCATAATACGGCTCATGAGCAGCCCAGAGATGCGGGAAAAGTGGAAAGGCTAGCAAGGATTGACAGATAGCTGGAGAAAACACATTCGAGATGAGCGGTACGTGCTTGAGATGAGCGCCGCACAAAGTTCATTCGTAATGCAAAAAAAATACTGCAGAAAAAGTGGGCGGAGAAGGAGAACATATGGAGAGAGTTAAGCGTGTCTGTGGTGTGTTGACGGCCGCCCACAGTGGGCGGGGCGTTCCCCTCAGGCTGAGGTAGTTACTTCCTTATTGAGTTCTAGTGCAGGCAGCCACACGCTTAACCACCGGGCGCTAGGTACATCTAATACCAGTCGGCTGTCGGATGAGGCCAGCGCGCCTCCGTCTGTGATATACCCCCGCTTTGCCGGGCGGGCGTAAGATTGCCGTGAGTACCTTCTTTCGTATGTTTGAATACTCTGCTGATAACCGTATTTTCCCTCATATATGCGCTTGATGAACGCTCTTACCACGTTTCATGGACGGTGTAGTGTTGAAAGCAGTACGTATGACATTGGTTAGGGAGCGACGGTCCTGTGCACAGGTAAAAGAAAAGCCGGGTAGTAATAAGTATTTAAACTTACGAAAGAAGGTACGGGCGGTGAAGCCGGGCTGTGTCACGCGTCGGCGTCAACCGTCTAGCCGACTGGTAGGAAAAAATGTTTCCTAACTTTTGCCGCATCACTTTAGAGAAAACTAGCATTTTTCCAGTATTTTCAGTTTATCAGTCTTTTTCCAATTGTATTTTTATTTTGGCGGTGTTATTGTGATTTTATTTATTTTGTGAGATTTTCAATTCTGTAAGAAGAGCGGAGCACATCATTCTTCTTGCATGATCCTTACTAAAGAAAATATGAGTTCTGCAATGTTCAGTGAATAAAAAAAAACAGTAGTTCCTGCTGCCAATGTCTTTCAGCCGAAGAAAGTCATATTTTGCTTCTTACGAGAGAGAAGAAGAAAAATTCCTGAACAAACAGACCCAAACCCTTTGAAAGAGCACGGAAGAAAAGAGACATCGAAGTGAGATTCTTTTCGGCAGATCCCATGGTATGATCACAGCAACCGTAAGTAAACCTACTGAAGTCAAAGTGCATCTTCTTTATTGAAAAAATAAGCGGATGACGTACTTCTAGAAAATCCGCGCTAGGCGACCAACCGTTCCCAAAGTCCAAGCCTTTTTTTCTCTGCTCCCTTCAGGTGGATGTGGAAAGCCATTCCATAAATCATATAGTGATACAGATTCGCTGCAAATAGATTTCGTACAGTTNAGTATGGATAC